AAAAACCCCTCCAAAAAAAAAAAAAAAAAAAAAAAAAAAAAAAGCCACCAGGTCCAGGTCTCAAACCACAGCTGGCTATATGAGTCTAGCAACGTAACCACTACGCCACCTGATGGCCCTACTATAAGAATATTCTAGGTGCATGTGTGCTTTTATGGAAGCAGTAGGCCAAAATTTCAATTGATTTTCTAGATATTTCTTCATGAGGTTGTAAAATTCTGTTAGCTTGTATGGTTATTACAGGTCACAAGACAGCTATCTTCAGAGAACACTAAGGGCCTATGACCCTATGCTTGCCCCATATAGAAACTTGTTTCCCATTTTCCCACACTCCACACTGCTGTGAAATAACTTAGTTACTCACCATTGGTTTTGATCATTTACAACTCAACAGAGATTCGAAGTTACTAAAAATCACGGGGACTTAACACTATACCCTTTTCCATACTGATCTGAGAGACAGCTATAATACACTTCATCCAGAGAAGTACCTACCTATTCCAATCTTAAATGCATACTTCTAAGCTAGTGTGTTCACAAAACAGTATACCCAGCCAGGTATAATTCACCTCACTCTTTTTGAGAGAGAGATTTTTACTATAGGGCATGCGCACTTGCTGAGGAGAGAGACAGAAAACAAGAAATCGCCCCCCAAGGGGGGATGGCCACACTATAATCCCTTCTCCTCCATTCTCCTCTTAGGACCTTGGGCACATGTGTGTGCATGCATACACACGTGCCTCATGAGAGTTTTATAAGTCACCAGGTCCAGGACTCAAACTGCAGTCGACCATGTGGCAGTCTAGCTATGTAACCATTACACCATCTGCTGGTCCCTCATCCCACTTTTCATATAGACTTTGGCAAAATCATTGAGAATATAAACAGAACAAAGTCACCATTCCTCATATATTTTCGATCTCAAGTAACTCTAAGGCCCAATTTGCCCCTTTTGGAAAAGTCCTTTTCCTGAGTGACTCACTATAATAGAGAGGCTGAATTTAATGGCACCTGTGATTTTGGAGCCTTTAGAACAACTCTGAATTTAAGTTACAAACTAGTTCTTTCTTACTTCTAAAAATCTCAGTGAATAACTGAAGTAACAAGTTGGGGCAGGTTAACCTGAGTCAAAAATGTTACACACGGGGACCAGCAGTTGGTGTAATGGCTATGTCACTGGACTTCCATGTAGTCAATCACGGTTTAAGTTTCAGACCCAGTGACTTAAACTCATGCCGGACGCGTGTGCGTGCATGCCCAAGATCCCAAGAAGTGAATGAAGGAGGAGGGACTGCGGTGTGGCCATCCTCCCTGGGGGTGGTGATTTCTCGCTTTCTGTCACTCTCTGTCTTTCTGGTGAGTGCACGCACCCTAGAGCAAAAAGAAAAAAAAACAAGTTACACGCAAATAAAGAAAAAAAAATTTCAAATATGTTATACGATGCTTGCTTGTGTTTGTGTTTGCCAGAGAGAAAGAGAGAGAGAAAGCAAGAAAGCACCCCCTGCAGAGATGGCCAGGCCACATTCTTTCTCTTCCATTCTCCTCTTGGGCGTACATGTCAGTTTATTTTCCTTTCTTCTTTTTTTTTGAATTATTTATTTAGTTTTATTTATTATAATTATTATTACTTTTTAATTTGACTAGAGAGAGAGGAAAAGTGAGAAAGCAAGCCACCAGGTTTGGGACATGAATCATGGTTGGCCAGGTGGGAGTCTAGTGCCTCAACCACCATGCCACCTGTGGGCTCCTGGGTTGTTTTTCAAGCCATTGTGTTCAGGATGCAAACCAAGCAGTCAGGTATGTGAGACCCAGCTGCCTTAACCACCGCACCATCAGCTCGTCCAATAACAATTTAAGGTCATATTTAACTCTAGATCCCAACTATGCAAAAAATGCTATAAAACATTTTTTTTAATCACCAAATTAACATAGCATTTGGTTTTAGAGGTTGGTTTGTTTTAGAGGTTTTCCCTTACAGCAAGATAGAGATAGTGAGAGGGAAAGTGAGAAACTACCCCCTAATATGGCCATGTGCCTTCCCTTCTCCTTCATTCTCCTCCTGGGACCTTGGGCATGCATGCACACACACCTGGAGTGAGTTTCAAGCCACTGAGTTCAGGACTTGAACTATAGTTGGCCATGTGGCAGTCCAGCGACGTAACTGCTACATCATCTGCTGACCCCTGGTTTTAGTTTTAAAAATTATTCACTTATTTTTACTTGGGTCATTGTCCTGAGTAACAAATTCCTACTTAAAAACTCTTTCTCTCATAGATGTATTATAAGACAGCTTCATATTCTAATAACTTATTTATATGGTATTTCTTATAGTAATTGAAGACAATTTCTATTTGACTACTAATCTGACTCAAATTTTTATGAGTCAGAGTCCTCTTGTGAAATGAATAAAAAAAGCAAAATACCTTAAAATGTCCCGTGCCTTCATTAGCACTGAAAAATGAGAGCAAAATTAATCAATATTTAATATTTAAAACTTATGTTTAATCATAAAAACATAAAAATAGCATGAATATGAATACTTGAGAAACAATTTAATTTTAAAATACCTAAACTTTTATAAAATAAACAAATGTAATGGTCATTCCTGCCACCTAGTGGTAAGGCAAAGACAACACTACTTTTTAAACTTAAATTTCAGAAGCTAAAAGTATATTCCTAAGTAAATTCTTTTGGGAGAGAGGGGTGGGAAATAAATCAGAATTTTATTTATTTTCCCAGCTTTAAATAAAATCACATCTGTTTAAAGTGTACGATAGGATATTTTGATATATGTGTATATTAAAAAATGATTAAATTAATCTAATATATCTATTATCTCACATATGAATTTTTTTTCTGTTGAGAACATGTAAAATCTACTCTTCTAGCAGTTTTCAAGTATACAATACATTTTTATTAACTGTAGTCAACATACTAGACAACAGGTCTCCAGAAAAAAAGTGTTACTCTTAATATTTAAAATTTCCTCACAGTTACGACTCTAATATTTTTCAGCTTAAAGTACAACTTATTTTTCATTTTTTAAAAACCACTATTAATCTGATTCTTCCCTCTAGTAACCTTTATAAGATAAGATTCTTTATGAGAAGGCTTCTGTATTTCCTCTAGCTTTATTTTCTATTTTTATTTTGTTTAGTTTGCTATATGGCGTGTGTGCTCGCCAGAGAGAGAGAGGAAAAGTGAGAAAGCACACCCCCCCGGGGGAGAGTGATGGCCACTCCATGATCCCTTCTCCTCCATTCTCTTGTAATTCTGGGCATGCACACATACACACCCAACCTAATTCCCAAGCTGCTAGGTCCAGGACTTGAACTATACAGGCACCAGGTGGGATCCAGCAGTCTTTGCCTTCGTGCCACCTGCTGGCTCCCTCTTGCTTTACTCACAGCCTACGGCCCTGGGCATGATTTTACTCAGGTTTTTACCCTTTCACTTAGAAGCCAAGAAGCCCAGAGATTCCTTGCTTAAATCAACTACTCCTACATCCTGAAGAAGACATGGGGGACTAACTTCTGTTGAGCATCTACTGTGTACCAGGCATTATGTATGTATTAGTCTTCACATACTACGCATGGTGGGAGTCTAGTGCCTCAACCACCATGCCACCTGTGGGCTCCTGGGTTGTTTTTCAAGCCATTGTGTTCAGGATGCAAACCAAGCAGTCAGGTATGTGAGACCCAGCTGCCTTAACCACCGCACCATCAGCTCGTCCAATAACAATTTAAGGTCATATTTAACTCTAGATCCCAACTATGCAAAAAATGCTATAAAACATTTTTTTTAATCACCAAATTAACATAGCATTTGGTTTTAGAGGTTGGTTTGTTTTAGAGGTTTTCCCTTACAGCAAGATAGAGATAGTGAGAGGGAAAGTGAGAAACTACCCCCTAATATGGCCATGTGCCTTCCCTTCTCCTTCATTCTCCTCCTGGGACCTTGGGCATGCATGCACACACACCTGGAGTGAGTTTCAAGCCACTGAGTTCAGGACTTGAACTATAGTTGGCCATGTGGCAGTCCAGCGACGTAACTGCTACATCATCTGCTGACCCCTGGTTTTAGTTTTAAAAATTATTCACTTATTTTTACTTGGGTCATTGTCCTGAGTAACAAATTCCTACTTAAAAACTCTTTCTCTCATAGATGTATTATAAGACAGCTTCATATTCTAATAACTTATTTATATGGTATTTCTTATAGTAATTGAAGACAATTTCTATTTGACTACTAATCTGACTCAAATTTTTATGAGTCAGAGTCCTCTTGTGAAATGAATAAAAAAAGCAAAATACCTTAAAATGTCCCGTGCCTTCATTAGCACTGAAAAATGAGAGCAAAATTAATCAATATTTAATATTTAAAACTTATGTTTAATCATAAAAACATAAAAATAGCATGAATATGAATACTTGAGAAACAATTTAATTTTAAAATACCTAAACTTTTATAAAATAAACAAATGTAATGGTCATTCCTGCCACCTAGTGGTAAGGCAAAGACAACACTACTTTTTAAACTTAAATTTCAGAAGCTAAAAGTATATTCCTAAGTAAATTCTTTTGGGAGAGAGGGGTGGGAAATAAATCAGAATTTTATTTATTTTCCCAGCTTTAAATAAAATCACATCTGTTTAAAGTGTACGATAGGATATTTTGATATATGTGTATATTAAAAAATGATTAAATTAATCTAATATATCTATTATCTCACATATGAATTTTTTTTCTGTTGAGAACATGTAAAATCTACTCTTCTAGCAGTTTTCAAGTATACAATACATTTTTATTAACTGTAGTCAACATACTAGACAACAGGTCTCCAGAAAAAAAGTGTTACTCTTAATATTTAAAATTTCCTCACAGTTACGACTCTAATATTTTTCAGCTTAAAGTACAACTTATTTTTCATTTTTTAAAAACCACTATTAATCTGATTCTTCCCTCTAGTAACCTTTATAAGATAAGATTCTTTATGAGAAGGCTTCTGTATTTCCTCTAGCTTTATTTTCTATTTTTATTTTGTTTAGTTTGCTATATGGCGTGTGTGCTCGCCAGAGAGAGAGGAAAAGTGAGAAAGCACACCCCCCCAGGGGAGAGTGATGGCCACTCCATGATCCCTTCTCCTCCATTCTCTTGTAATTCTGGGCATGCACACATACACACCCAACCTAATTCCCAAGCTGCTAGGTCCAGGACTTGAACTATACAGGCACCAGGTGGGATCCAGCAGTCTTTGCCTTCGTGCCACCTGCTGGCTCCCTCTTGCTTTACTCACAGCCTACGGCCCTGGGCATGATTTTACTCAGGTTTTTACCCTTTCACTTAGAAGCCAAGAAGCCCAGAGATTCCTTGCTTAAATCAACTACTCCTACATCCTGAAGAAGACATGGGGGACTAACTTCTGTTGAGCATCTACTGTGTACCAGGCATTATGTATGTATTAGTCTTCACATACTACGCATGCTTTCATTTAGTCTTCAACAGCCCTGCAAATCAGGTACAAGGGGACTTCAAAAAGTCTTTGGGAAGGAATCAAAGTACAAGTTTATTTTGGTGCAAATAAATCTTGAAATCCATGCATACTATTTTCGTAATATGCATTTTCATGAACTTTTTGAAGACCCCAAGTATTAGTATCCCTATTTTACAGAGAAGGAAAATCAAGCTCAGAGAGGTTTAATAACTTGTTTCAGCTCACACAGAGCTAGTGAGAAAGCTAAGACTGAAACTCCAGTGTGCCGACCATCAAATGCACACCTTTCTTCCCTATTACTGTGAAAAACTGAGATCACAATTGCTTATCACCAGAGTGTTTTTATAATAAAAATATAGATTTATAGGTAAATACCTCTTTACATATTACAAGTAAATATCTATAAACTGTTGCAAATCTATGTTTATATAATAGAAATAAATTTATATCTATATGTAAACTTGTAAATACACATAAACATAAATATAAAACTAAGAATTATAAAATAAAATATCCCTTTCACTACAAGAATGTTCTGTGGAGGGGACCAGCAGTTAGCGTAATGGCTATGTCGCTGGACCCCCATATAGTCGACCGGGGTTCGCGTCCCAGACCTGGTGGCTTAAACTCACGCCGGGCATGTGTGCGTGCGTGCCCAAGATCCCGGGAGGAGATTGGAGGAGAAGGGATTGTGGTGTGGCCATCCCCTCTGGGGGGTGATTTCTCGCTTTCTGTCTCTCTGTCTGTCTGGCGAGCGCACACGCCCTATAGCAAAAATCTCTTCAAAAAAAAAAAAAAAAAGAATGTTCTATGGAGAAAACCTGATGAACGGGCTTCAGGCTTCTACCTGAACATTTAGAGAGTGCTCTCTCTCTCTCTCTCTCTTTGACTAGAGGGCATCTGCCTTTGCCAGCAAGAGACAGAGAGGAGAGGAGAAAGAACCCCCAATAGGGAATGATCACTCTGCAATCCCTTCTACATCTCTTCCTCTGCTGGAAATTTTGGGAGTGCACACACAGGTCCATGACTTAACTGTGACGTAGGCCATGAGTATCCGATTACCTTAGTCACCAGTCCACGGAGCCTGCTTGAGAGAGCCTTTTTATTTTTTTAAATAATTATTTTATTGGGGCCGGCAGGTGGCATGGTGGTTAAGGGTGCTGGACTCCCTATGGTTGACCACAGTTTGAGTTCTAGACAGGCTTGCTTTCTCACTTTCTCTCTCTCTCACTCTGTCCCTCTCTGGTCATATTAGGATGAATAAATAAATGTTAGGTAAAATAATTATTTAAAAATTTTTTAATTTAAAAAATAATTATTTTATTTAACTTTATTTTTTAATTTATTTAAATTTGACCAGTGAGGGACAATGTGAGAAAGAGAGAGAGGGAAAGTGAGAAAGCAAGCCACCAGGTCCAGGACTCAAACTGTGGTCTGTCACGTGGGAGTCCAGTGCCCCTACCCATCACATCACCTGCTGACCTCCTGAAAGAGTCTCTTAAGTGACAAGTCAGCCCATTCTATTTGTAGGCAACTTTGTTAAAAATTTCTCCCTATAACTTAACATCTACTGGTCCTAGTTTTGCCTTTTGGTACCCCTACAAATAAGACTGATCTCTCTCTCTCTTTTATTAATGTGATAACCCTATGAACATTTGAGGGGACAGCAGGTGGCGTAATGATTACATCACTGGACTCCCATGTAGTTCGAGTCCTGGACCCAGCGGCTTAAAATTCACACCAGGTGTGTGTGCATGCATGCTCAAGATCCCAAGGGAGAATGGAGAAGGGACTGCAATGTGGGTATCCCCCTCAGGGGGTAATTTCTCGCTTTCTCTCTGTCTGTGTCTGTCTCTCCAGCAAATGCATGCACCCTATAGCAAAAATCTCTCTTAAAAAAATTTGAAATTGGACCAGCAGTTGGCATAATGGCTATGTTGCTGGACTCCTATGTAGTTGACCACAGTTTGAGTCCTAGACCTGGTGGCTTAAACTCATGCCAGGTGCATGTGCATGTGTGCCCAAGATCCCGAGAGGAAAATGAAGAAGAGACTGTGGTGTGGCCATCCCCTGAGGGGTGATTTCTCGCTTTCTGTCTCTGTCTCTGTCTTTCTGGTGAGTGTATGTGCCCTTAGCAAAAACGTCTTCAAAAAAATGAAATCAACTTCAGGGATTTATCAGTTCTTTGTCTTTTTCAGACTAAATATTTTTGTTCTTTCCACTATTGTATATAACACATTTTCAAACAATCTGCTACTCTGCTTAAACTCCAGTTTTACCAACATCTCTTAAAATGTGGTGCTCAGAGCTGAATATGATACTCTAATTGGACTAACAGGGCATACAATAGGGAATTACCTCCCCAACTTATTAAACACCACTGAGCTTAGGGCTGCACTAAATTTTTATCACATCACACTTATTCATGAGACCACTTTTTTTGGTGTGGAAATAAATGTTGCACCTATTACAGTACCACAGACCAGTTTAATCTTTTTTTGATACCCTGTATTATTTCAATATTCATATACTGATAATGGTTCCATTCTTTAAAAAAAAAAAATTGCCAGTGGGCCAATATGCTCAGAATGTGTTAAGAATACGGTGTTAGGGCCAGCAGGTGGTGTGGTGGTTAAAGCACTGGATCTCACACTCACATGTCCAATTCCAGTTCAGGTCCTGGATCAGGCAGCCTGAAAAATACACCTGGCACATGTGCGTGTATGCCTAAAACCCCAAGAGAAAAATGCAGAAGGGATTGTGGCATAGCTGTCCCCGGCAAGGGGTGATTTCTCACTTTCTATATCTCTACCCAGTGAGTGCAGTGCTCCTATGGCAAAAAAATCTTTTTTTTTGAGAGAGATTTTTTGCTATAGGGTGCATGTGCTTGCTGGAGAGACAGACAGACAGATACAGAGACACAGAAAGTGAAAAAATCACTCCCCAGAGGAGATGACCACACAATTGCTTTTCCTCCATTCTCCTCTTGGGATTTTGGACACACATGCATACACACCTGGCGTGAGTTTTAAGCTGCCAGGTCCAAGATTCGAACTGTGGTCAACTACATGGCAATCCACTGACATAACCATTACGCTATCTGCTGGTTCCAAAAATCTTAAAAAAATAACATCATGATGGATCTTTTCTTTTTTTTTTCCCCAAGAGATAGGGTCTTGCTTTGTTGCCCAGATTAACCTCAAACTTGCAGTCCTCCTGCCTTTAGCCTCCCTACTTGCTGGGACTTCAGCTGTGGCTTCTATGGGAGGTAGGAATTAAACCCCAAGATCCTCTAAAATAGCAATACCTGTAATACTGGGCCCCATGTTAATTTCTACAATGATCTTGTGAGAGGCTATTTCAATCCCTAATTTAGAAACACAGGGGACCAGCAGTTGGCATAATGGCTATGTTGCTGGACTGCCATGTAGTCGACCGTGTTTTGAGTTCAGACCTGGTGGCTTAAACTCACGCCGGGCACATGTGCATGCATGTCCAAGATCCAGAGAGAATGGAGGAGAAGGGATTGCAGTGTGGCCATCACCCCTGGAGGGTGATTTCTTGCTTTCTGTCTGTCTCTTTCTGGTAAGTACATGCACCCTATAGCAAAAATCTCTCCAAAAAAGAAACACAGAAGCAGGGGGCCAGCAGGTAGCGTGGTAGTTAAGGCCACTGGACTCCCACATGACTTACATAGGTTCAAGTCCTGGACCTAGTGGCTTGTTTTCTCGCTTTCTCTCTCGCGCTCATCAAATAAGGAAGGACGGAAGGGAAGAAGGACAGAAGAGAGAAGGAAAGTTAAATCATTCTTTAAAAAAAAGAAAAAAGAAATAGAGAAACCGGAGGCC